CTGCATCCCGCCGGGGGCTTACCCCCCGTGCCTCTCACAACCCCGCGCCGCTGCTCGGGGCAGCCCTTGCGTCCCGCCGGCCGGAGGTGCGGACAGAGGAAAGGGCAACCTGTCGGGTTGAGGAGGAGCTGCTGAACGGCTCTTGCGAAGGGCAGGACAAGGGCAGTTTGTGGGAGAAAGGGGTTTGGAGGAGAAAAGCTGTGGCATCGCTTTCCCCAGGCAGGATTCTGTTGTAGCCCCATGTGAAATGGACTCGGGGCGGGGATTCGTCAGTTCGGAATCGGTGACTAGAAAGAAACGGTAGCATTGTGCACGGTGTCATTCAGAAGTTCTCTCCAAATTCCTTTCCTGCCATCTAAGCACGGGAGGGGGCTGATGTTTACAAGTGCGGTCAGGCCAGGTGTCTGTCACTTAAATGCTGTCTTAAGTATTTTGCAATAATCTGGATGCTACTTCAAGGAAACTGGCTAGGTTTGTCACCCCGCAGTGTAAAGTAGACAACTTATATGGGAAGTAGGTGTAGTCAATTTGAAGGGAAAAAAAACCAGAACCATTTAATTCTTATGATGTGTTTCTGTACCTGCTAACTTTCCCCTAACCCATTATTGTCTGTACCCTGATTAGAGGATCCTGCTGTTGAAACAGCAGAGGAAGCTAAGGAACCAGCAGAGGCAGATATCAATGAACTCTGTAAAGACATGTTCAGCAAAATGGCCACTTATTTAACAGGTGAACTGACAGGTAAGGCACAGCAATACTGACCTGCAAGTAAGATTTTGTTTCTTTTCGTTTTCTTTTCAAGGAATCTGTTGTGTAGTTCATCTCAACTATACATATTTAACTCCTATCTAGCAAGACTGGCATTTCAAGTCTGGCATGTTGCTAGGCTACTAACAACGCTGAGGTTAGTTGCGTTAATGAAGTCTCAGAAGAACAGAAATACTTTTCAAAAGAATTCAGTATGATATCAGCAACTTTAAAAAAAATTCTTTGTAGTCTTGCAGAAAGAATACAATTGAGAATAGAACACATGCAGCTATTTTGCTTCTGAATGAGAGCAAGGACCTTACACATGTTTTCCAACACTCGTGTTTTAGAATGAACTGCTGTGCAACATTAACTGGAGCAAAGTAAACTGCTCAGCAAGTTAGTAGATTCCGTAGGCTTCAGTTTTGAAAGCACTGCACAGCACTACTGATTTGCATGGGCTTGAAAGGTATATGCTATGGATTACCCATCTGGATTGGTGCTATCACTTTTGGAAACATAAGTGTTTAAATGACAGGATAAGGGTAGACATGTGTGAAATTAGTCAATTTTTCTTTAAAAAAATTTGCAAGTGTTAAATATTAATCAGTTGATTTTTACAATTCACAAAATTTCATCTCTCTTTCTATAGAACATTCTACTGGTACCTGTATTACCATCTAAACTATTCTTTTTTACATTTAACTTAGTTTGTAATCTCTTGTCCTCTTGAAGAGTCTGCACACAATTCAAACTGCATCAACTTTTAATTAAAATGAACTCTATTCTTTTTAAGCTACCAGTGAAGACTACAAACTCTTGGAAAACATGAATAAGCTGACTAGTTTGAAGTACCTAGAAATGAAAGATATTGCTATAAACATCAGCAGAAATCTGAAGGATTTAAATCAAAAATGTAAGTAAACCGCATCAGGTAGGAGTATAATGAACAGTACACTTGTTTGGAAAATGAAGCATCCAAGAATGTCATAGTTCACACTCCATGAGGACTCTGAAACTCACAGAAATTGACATGCTGCTCTACAGGGCCAACCTTGTACATTCCTGTACGGCTATGGACTAGGTGGGCTAGTGTAAGAGAGAACACATCTGATCTTATATCCCCTTTTACCCCAAATTTTGGATCTGATAGGAGATAACACTTGTGTTGATGCACGTTGTGTTGTTACTTGTGTTGAGCCTAGCTAGTGCTCTTAAGCTTTTCATACTTTCCAGGAATGGAAAGCACAGCTATCAGTATCACCCCTTGATTTCTGGGGCAGGGGAAGGAAGGAGCTTTTAAATTGTTCTATCTGAAGAATGTTACGAGAAATTCTTGTGTTTCAGGTATGAACTGTTTCTTGGAAGTGAATTACTGAGAACTGACAGATACGATTTTTCTGCTTTTTTTAAGATGCCGCTCTTCAGCCATATCTGGAACAAATCAACCTAATTGAGGAACAGGTTGCAGTTCTGGAGCAGGCAGCTTATAAATTGGATGCCTATTCCAAAAAACTTGGTAACTATTGTTCTCTACCACTACTACCTAGCAGCATAGTCCCTTGCAAGGGGATTTTAAAAGACTAAACTCCTCCTCTGTTTGACAAATCTGGGCTGCAGAGTTGCCTGTGCTGCTTTTGAGCAATGAACAGTGTATGTGAAGTGGCAAACACTGGCAAAAGATTAATATATCAAGTTATATGGAAAGAGAGTAGTACAGGTATTACTGAACTACAGTCTATTAGTGAGGCTTGATTTCTCTTTTACAATATGCACTATCACAAATTTTCAAGACAGATATTTAATCCTGAAAACAGAGGGATTAATAAAGTTCCACCAGGCACCCAAGTCCCCTTGGGTTAAGTTGTCTGACTTCAGCACCTGGTTCTTAAAAATTTTATTGTACAATTATATTTGCCTCAATACTTCAGTAAAAAATGACCCTGAGTGATCCTGTAAATTAACTTGAATTTTAAGATGTATAGGAGCTTACAGGATTCAAAGCTTTTACCTATCCAGTCCTAAAATATTGTTATTTTTCCTTCTGCAGAAGCCAAGTACAAAAAACTGGAGAAACGGTGAAATTACAACAGTCTTTAAGTTGGAGTTGGGCTATGAGTCAGACTGATTTCTGTTTAAGTTGCACAAAAGCAATTCTGTATGTTGGCAAGGATTTGGTTACAACTGATGTAAAGACTGGTAACTTTTTCTGTCTGTTGAGTAAAGTAGGCTGTATTAAGGCTTAAGGCTGAATAATATTTTCCCCTTCTCAAGGGAGGTTCTGTTCCCTCAGTTGTTCTGCACTGAAAAGTAGAAGCCTGTCCCTAACCCATATGTTGATATTTGCTGTGTTAGTCCTATGTCCCACATGAAATATGCTATCTACTACCCTCCATAACCTATAAAGACATTTTCCTTCAGTAGCAACAGGACCTAAACTTCACTTTTTCCTACACTGAGCTCTGTGTTGAGAAGTTACATGGCCTTGGGAGTTACGAACATGGTATTGAGAACAATTCATTTTGGTATCCATCTTTACCTATTTGAAATAGAGAGACTAATTATTATTTACAATGAAACAACTTGCTGCATTTGTCTCTCTGGAATCTCAACTTTCTGTTGGAAAGATCATGTAAGCTGTCTTTTTATTTTTTTCAAAGGGTCTGTTAATAAAGACAAACTCCTTCCAGTTACTGGACATCATAGAAAAGAACATGCTTTAAACTCTGTGTCAAGTATTCCTTCAATTATAGTCTTTGACTGTCTGGACCCCAGGTGAAATTACCCTAAGTACTGCTTTAACACATGTTCAGTTAACTTAGCAGATCCTTTCTCTACTTTACCAATGAATTTACATCCTAGTAGTTTTCGAAGAGGCATGCCCAGCACACAAAGTTGCTTCTCTACCAGATCAAGTGTGTTCCAAGTTGCTAATTTAGCAGAGCCCTTTTTACTGGAGAGGTACTCCTACTGCAAGTTCTTTTTTCCCTGTATTTACTGACCCTGGCTAGTTCAAGCTGACTTTTCACTGAGTTGCAGCTGAGGATAGTACAAATACAGATGTAGGAAGGAAGTAGTTCAAACTTGTACAAGCTGTTTAGAAGAATGTCTAGTCAGGTGCCAGCGTGGTAAAGAGCACAGTGCTGTCAGTTAGGGCACAGCCACTGTACATACTTAAGGTGGACACTTTTCCGTAGTGCTGTTTAAAAGCAGAGCAGCAGGTGACCTTTGAGAGCCTTCACCATCACTTTAAAAAAACTGTGTTTAAAATAGAAAATGTTATTTTATGTGGTCTTGATGTAGGATTTGAGACATGGTTGAGTTCACTTTGAAGGAAGGCCTTTTTGGAATGAGCATCTTTAAAGAACAGGGTTAAGGCTCCCAGAGGTAGGCATCCATTTGCTTCTGTATTGCTTTTATCCACAGTTAACTCACGGGTGACTTTTCTACCTGTGAAAGTAAATTAGATACTGTAGTATCGTTGTCAAAGCAACATCCTCCAACCCAACAGAGAGGTGCCAACAGGTGACTTATCTGTGTTGGAGGAAATTATACCGTGTAGAACAGCAGCCTGTTCTAAGATCTGACAGACTGTCATCTTCTCAGGATCCGTGGTGTGTTCACAGTTCTGCTGGACAAGAGGATCTAGCCTGCCAGATCTAAAATCTTCGTGCCTAGAGACGGGCATTTGAATGACAGCCTGAACAGTGACTGGCTTGGCAATCTCTGGTGCTGGGGAGTGGTACCACAAGGTGGTAGACACTCTAAGGGTCCTGTTTCTCCAGTGTCATGCATCTGTAGGTAGCCGTGATTCAGCCAGCCTCACCAGTGGTTTTGATAGTGCCATCCTTTCTCTTTGCCGCTGTGGGGGAGAATCAGATGTTTGGCTTGAGGGTGCTGCTCAGAGCCCCTCTGTTCTCTGGAAGAATGAGGATTTTCATTACGGCATGTAGCACTTGTATGTGGCTGGGAGCTTAGTCCCTGATCCCCTGTGAGTCCCCTCCCTGACCTCTACCCATCTCTTGAGAACAGAAATGTTACGGATTCATATCAGGTTGGAAATGGCTCTGGATAGGTGGACATCATCTAGAGCTGACCAGCCACTGAAATGCTGACCAGGACAGGTTGTTAAGACCACTGGTCTTCTAGTCTGGTGATCTCTTTTATTCCCAGCTCTTTCTTGGAAGATGGTGCTAGAGGCACAGAGTGGATGCTGGCACACAAAAGGATTGTTCTGCAGTGCAGAGGTGGAGAGGCCACTGGTTAGGTGCAGAGGCCAAGATGAAGGGGTGACAGAGTTGTATCCCAAGGAATTACAATGGAGAGCTGGCCATCTGCGGTCTAGGGAATCGTCAGCATCTCCATGTGATAAAAATGTCAAGCCCTACGTGCCAGTGACTTGTCCTGTTGCATGGCAGCAAGCTGAATCAGTTCTGCTCATGGCAGATCACCTGCAAGCCAAGTATTGAGTGCAGAGCAGAACAGGGCCGGGACACGCTCCATGCTGTAACGATAGCATGCTGCCAGTGTCGTTACAAGTCCACTCCCTTAGCGGATGCGGACCGTATGCTCAGACCCTCACTGGGAGACACAACCTACAGGTCCAAGCTGGGTATGGAACTGGATGTATGGCAGCCCTGCTCAGTCGTAAGGTGAGTGTCAGTCACCCTCCCTTTTCCTTTTACATACTGTCCATATTCCAGTTGGGTTGCCCAACTCATAGTTTCATATAATAAGGATTTAGTGTCACTGGGATTATAGCAGCCTTTCTGTGTAAATTCTTGAAGGGGCCAGGAAGAGCAGCACAGCTCTCCTCTCTGTTTTATGGTTACATCCTCTAGTGCTTCCAACTGCCGCAGACCCAGTAGGGCATCCTTTCCTCTTGAGCCTGTGGGGAGGCACGTAAGAGTGAAGATGTTTCAGGGCTGCTTGTCTTTCTGAGGAGATAGTCATGTGCCTCAACCTTCTTATGCATGGTTGAACTTACTGAGCTCTTCCTGCAGCAGCACGACTTTCCTGCTGTGATGTGTGCCTGGAGCGTGCCGGGTTGCCCAAGGCAGCTACGGACAGGACAGCAGACCAGTAGGAAGTTTTCCTAACACGGGAGTTTGATGTAAGGATTGTCAGAGTGTTTGGGCGGAAAGGATTGCACTCAGGGGTGGGCTGGTGCTGACTAAGCAAGAACACGTTCGCAGGGGCACAAGGGCTGGGGCTTTTCGTCTGCTGGTTTAAATTTAATTTAGTTCAGCAGCAGCACGGGCTGCTGCTGCTCTGCTGCTGGCGTTCCGGGCTGGGTGTCTTTCCCTGGCAGGGCTGCAGGACGGCCACCAGGGGGCAGCGGTGCGGCGCAGCGGGGACCGCGCCCGGCGCCTGGGGAAAAGGTGCTTTGCTACCCCTGGAAAATACAACCCGGTGTCATAAACCACGAAGATTCAAACCTCCAGGAATTCGGAAGATGGAAAACCACCTGGCCATGCATTGCCAGCAGGCGCTTAGTGTTTTCAGGTAAGAGAGCTAAGAAATAACAAATTCCTTCACAAACTCTTGAGCGTCCCAACTCCAGGAAGCAGAAATGGGAAAAGGAGCTTGTCCCACAGGTGACTTCTTTCTGGGAGGAAATTTTAGAGACTGACTACCTGACTGGCGGAGGATTGTGTGACAGTGGCATCCCAATTAGCCCGAGAGCTGACAGCTTTGTTTCCAGTACTGTCCCTGAGTAACTATTCCCTTCTCTGCCAGAGGGCCCTCTGTGACTGGTAGAATCCAAACGACAGCAAGGATGGCAGGTTCTTGGAAAGTAGCACCACAGAAGAGATATAGCTAGGTGTGTGTGAACAGCATTGTACTGGGGAAATGTATAGTCCCAAAGCAGAGGCACAAGTTGGCTGCTGCTCAAACATTTCCCCTGGAGAGCCCATGAAAAGTTCCAGAGGAGGTACAGGGGGAGGCTAAATCTCTATCTCTTCTGCAGTATTTCCTGTGGGAAAACATAATCAGAAAGTATCAGGTGCTTGAAGGGAAGAACACAGAAAAGAACAGAGGAAAGGGAGGGCTGATAGATGAGAGTCAGGGGGCAAAGTATCTTATCAACGCTGTCCGTGAAACTGCTTTGGAGCTGAAGCAGTTCTTGAGGACTTGGCCTGCAACTGCAAACCAGGGTGGGGGTGAACATCAGCCTAGCAAATACAGCTCTGTAGGCTGAAACAGAAGATTTCTTTTCCAGAGGTGTTTTTTTCCCCAGCACCTCAAGACAGTTCTGCCCAGCTGCTCTAACACGTTGTTCTGAAGTCAGGCAATGTTCAGAGCAGTACTTTGTGGACATGTCCACAGTCTTCAGAATGGGCTTGTAAATCATTAGTGGAAACTGCAACACGTCCATCAGCTGAAAAACAGCTCTTCTAGAATGGAGTATACTTTTTAACCTGGAATTCTGTGTTCAATAGAAACGTTAAAAGATATCCAATGGGATGATAATCACAAGTGTATGTAATGGCCTGAAGATAAATACATTGTTGTATTTGCAGCATCCCATGAGAGGACAAACATGTAAGCAACAGCAGTAGGCAGAAGACAAGCATGCTATGAAAAGTATGACAGGGTTTGTTAATGCAAGGTTTGCTAATGATTAATGTTTGTTCCTGCTTTCTGATATTATAGTAGGACAAGGTTGACTTTAAATAAAGGTCACCAAGACTTAAAAATTAAAGCACTTCATCCAAGTTTGTTGGCAGCAAGTGATTTTTTTTTAACCAGTACATTTAATCTAGAGGATACTAGAGCAGATATTGGTTACCTTTGCACTGTTGTTTTTACTGCAGACTTGATAAAGTGAGCCTTCCAGGATGCAGCTTCAGCCCTTCCCAAGCCCACATGCCTGTTCCATGTTGCAATGAAACCCCTGGGAGCCACAATCATTTTCTTGCTGGTGTGCACTGTCTGCCTCCTTGTCTGTTTAGCGTGGAGGAGGATGTCTGAAACAGGGAAGTCGCCTCCTGTGCTGTTTCCTTTGACCCTCATAGGAAACATCGTACAGCTGATGAATAACTTGCTTGAGGCAAGTGGATGCAACTTAAAAGGTGTGTTGGTTTTTGGTAAATTTTTTCAACTCAGTAAGAATTATGGTCCTGTTTTCACAAAGTGTTTGGGCTCAGTATGTGCAGTGGTGGACAC